AAGAGAACTATTATGCAAAGCAGTTACGTAAAGAATATAAAGAAAACATTGGGAGGAAGGTATTTTTGGCAGCAGTGGTCTGTAATTTTGGCCATTTACTTGGGGCTTGATGGAAATCTCTTTAACATTTAGAATTAATGGGAAATTATGAAAAAAATAATGCTTTGCAATAGGATTATACTCTATTAGCACTAATTGCTTTTTAAAAATAATCTCATTTAACTGTTTTGTTAAATTAAATTATTTGACATCAGTTATACACTTTTGTATGCACAGTATAAAAACTCAATTACTAATAATTTTATAGCCTGGTTTTTAAAGGGGCTCAACTCAACTTCTTTTGTAGGTGCAATTTTGGAAGTAATTGCACACACAAACCAAGCTGTAAAAACCTTAATGCTATCAGTTGCAGGGATGAGGCTACACCCACAAAATAGGAGCCTGTTTCTGATCAGGCAAGGAAATAATGGCTTCCAGGCATCCAATCAAACAACACATGTCAAACTCACCAAAGTGTGAGATGAAGATTAGTCTTGATGATTCTGGTATATTAAAAGCTTTAGGTCATAAAAAAGCTTTAAAAATGGCCCAGGAGAAAAAGTGAAGAAAGAGAGGCAAAATCTGTAGTTGTGTCTAAGGTACTGTTTTAATTATTGCAAAAAATGCTACAATTTTATAGAGAAGTCTTGCAAGCTCCCTGTTCTCATATATTCTGCAGTGCAATTCTGAAAAAACTGAACAAAATTTTACATTTTTGCTTTGCAAAGAAATGTCTGGAAAATGCTTCTGTTTGTATAATGTCCAGAGATTAAACTTGGCCATGCCCATGTGACCCATCAAAATGAGTGATAATAAGCAATTCTTTTGAGGTACCCTGGCCCTTCCAAGTGCAAAACCTTTTGTGCTTCTTCAATACATATTTTCTGTGATGCTGTGATTTGCATAGGGCAAGAATTTCCAGTCAATTTCCAGTAAGTAATCAGTCAAAACTGATTACTTACTGAAGATTCACCATCAGAAGTAATATGAGTTGATAACATAAGTCCTAAATCTGGTAGGTAAAAATATGAGATATCTCATTTGTTAACAATGGACTTAAAGATCTGTGTATATAATGAGAAAGATAGCATCATCTCCTCGGAAAGACCTTTAGTCAATTAATTTCCAAAAAGGCCTGCTAACGTAAGTGCAAGTAAAGCCTGCTAATATGAGTGTCAGTAGGGTCCAGTCTCTGTATCACAACACTCGCATAACGTGTTACATCTTCAGAGTAGTGTACACATATTAGATATCAACTATTTCATCCTGACAATACATCTGTGAGGTAAATAGTTGCAGAAATAGAAAGAAAAGACAGAAAATTACTCTCCAAGTAAACTTGTTGATGTAGATATCATTTTTATTTTTCTTTGTTCTTTTTTGCAAACTTGCACTAGGTTGAAAGCACCTTTTTAAGACTGAATACATGTAAAAGTGATTACAGTGTGATATGTATTTGCATTTAACTGGGCGCAGCTACACGTGCTTCAATGTGCAGTAGCCTATTTTACTGTGCATTAAAGCATCATTAAAAAAAGTGCAAATACACTAATGCTCAGAATAATAGGCTACTGTGCATTAAGCATCACTTAAAAAGCATGCACTTTCACTACCGAACATTATGACAGCCTAATGTGCATTTATTCAGTACCTCACATTGGAGGTACTAAATTTAACATGTATTAGGAAAACCACATTAAAGCATGGGTTGATGTGCCCATTGTGATATATCCTTTAATCTTTTACGTGCTGTTATTGCTGTTATAATCATAACCTGCTTCCTTGGACTTTCCAAATTAATGCAAGTAGTTAATAAAATTGTTTGAAAAATGACATATTTTGGGTATTTATTATTTTCCCTGAAAGTAAGGGGCTTCTGTTCTCAACTCTAGAAAAGTACAGAGAGAATTCCCTTAAAGAAAACAATTGAAGAATGGACCTTAATATAAATCCACTGCAAATGAAAGTGATATGTGCAGAGGATAAAGCCATAGATCAGAACCTTACTTCCAACCAGCCCATGAAGCAAGGCAAGCATACCAAGTGGGGAGCTGCCTGGACCATCCAAAAGATGGATGTAACTGACACAGGTTCTTTGTTCTGAGAAGCTTGGAGAGGAAGTATTAATGCAGCTTTGGGAATATATATATATTTTTCAATTTTTGTTTAGCAAAGTTGGATAATGAAGGTTATAAATTGGGTAGGGTGAAAAGCATTATATGATGTTTGACTACAGCCAGACATAACGCTTAACTGTTTAAATGTAGGTGTTTGAACCACAAGCAACTAGGCTTACAAGCCAATTTAGAATGGTTTAAACCTCCTACAATGTTTCACAAGTATACCTGGATAATAAGGTATTATTTTGACCTGTTCCTCCCAGTTTAGTGTTATGTGTGGACACCAAACTTTCTGCAATTAATCTCTGGCTGGTCCTCCAAGCATCCCACAATGCATTGCTCCTCACCCTCTGACTTCTTCCCCAACCTGCATATGACAACTAGCTACTCTGGTACATAGCCAGAACTCTACTGCCCCAACTTGTATTACCTATGCCTGTCCTTGCAATCCCAGGCTGACTTCATGTAATTGGCCATGACATTCACTGGAATGCTTTCCCTTTTCGGTCTGCTTGGACACAGCTGTCTCCTGTTGGGTTAACAGCTTGCCCTCCAGCAAGTTTTCTCTAAGAGGGGCCCCAGGGGTTTTCGTCTGTCATGTCTTGTTGATATGGATAATTGCTTGGAGGAAGTTCACTAATCCAGCTACTCCTGGTTTTCTTTTCAGTCACTCGCTTAGGTCTTCATCTCAGGGCTCCGCCTCCCCTACACCCCCGCCTTGCGCCAACCAGTGATGATGTTAGTCTTTGGCCAAAGCTAAAGAAAAGTTAACCTGCCACAGCTGAGCCTCTGGGCGTTATCTAAACTTAGTCCCAATCTGGATGGTTTGCTGTCCTTTTGTAGGCCTCACATTGGCCTAACTCATTATAGGATTCATCCTGGGATTTCCTCAGGGTACTCTCTCTTTCCCCTCCAGGGGCTACTCACAGCTCCCATTTCCTTTCTTTTTGTTTTCTCTCTCTAGGCTCACTGCTGTCTCAGTCTCTCTCAGCGTTGTCCAGGATCTATGGTCTTGAGAGAGGTAAGTACCCTGGCTCCTCCGAGCCAGCCTTAGCAGGGCATCCCACTTTTTGGGATTGCCACCACTCGGCCCTGCCAGGGCATTCATCTGTCTCATGCCATCCTGGGCTCTCTGGAGGACTCACTTCCAGTCCTCCTGGAATGTGGGTTGGTGGGTTTTTATCCCCGGTTCCAAGGGCCGGCTGACAAACCGGTGTTGGCACACAGCCACAAAACGTGCCCACACTGGTTCTGGGGAGCGTGCCTGATCCCCAGCGGTGGGCTGCTGTTGCCGCTTTCCTCTTCGCTCCTGCCGTGGCTCAGCTTGTCTGCTGTAGGTGGCATCACCACTGCTGCATCTTTGATCTTTAGGGGCATTCTGTGGCTGCCACTTTTCTCTCCGTCTCAGTGCTGGTTAAGTTTCATAGTTTCATAGTTTCATAGTTACAGGGTCGGAAGGGACCTAATAGATCTTCTAGCCCGACCCCCCGCCAGGGCGGGAGAACAACCCAAAAAAAAAACACCCTAAAAACAAAAACGGGACTCAAATGAGTCCAGCCAGGTAAGTATCCAGCCTCTTCTTAAAGATCCCCAGGGTAGGGGCCAGCACCACCTCCCTTGGAAGTTGGTTCCAGCTCCTAGCCGCCCTAACTGTGAAGTAGTTTTTTCGGATGTCCAATCTGTACCTCCTCTCCATCAACTTGTGCCCATTACTCCTTGTTATGCCAGCAGGGGCTAGGGGAAACAGCGTCTCCCCCAAACCCTTCTGGTTCCCCCTAGTGAGTTTATAGACGGTCACCAGGTCCCCCCTCAGCCTTCTCTTGTGGAGGCTGAATAGGTTCAAGTCCCGCAGTCTCTCACTGTAGGGTCTGCCCTGTTGTCCCCGGATCATGCGGGTGGCCCTCCTCTGGACCCTCTCCATGTTGTCCACATCCCTCCTGAAATGGGGCGCACAGAACTGGACACAATACTCCAGCTGCGGCCTGACCAGCGTCGCATAGAGGGGGAGGATCACCTCCCTGGCTCTACTCGAGATGCACCTGTGGATGCACGACAAGGTCCGGTTAGCCCTGCCAACCATGACCTCGCATTGTCGGCCCATGTTCATCTTGGAGTCAATAATGACACCAAGATCCCTTTCCGCCTCCGTGCTCTCAAGTAGGGAGCTCCCCATCGTATAAGTGTGCTGCTGGTTCCTACTACCCAAGTGCAGCACCCTGCACTTGTCCGTATTGAAACACATCCTGTTCCTGTTTGCCCACCCCTGTAACCTATCCAGATCCTTCTGCAATCTCTCTCTCCCTGCTAGCGTGCTCACCTCCCCCCAAATTTTGGTGTCATCAGCGAATTTAAACAGGTTGCTTTCCACCCCAACATCAAGATCGCTGATGAAGACATTGAACAGCGCAGGGCCCAGGACCGAGCCCTGAGGGACTCCACTACCCACCTCCCCCCAAGTCGAGTATGATCCATCCACCACCACCCTCTGAGTGCGACCCTTCAGCCAATCTGCAATCCATCTGACCGTGTAGGCATCTATGCCACAGTCGCCTAGTTTACTAATTAGGATGGGGTGAGAGACGGTGTCAAAGGCCTTGCTGAAGTCCAGAAAGACTACATCCACCGCGACACCTGCATCCATGGCCTTTGTGACCTGATCATAAAAGGCAATCAGGTTGGTCTGACATGATCTCCCCCTAATAAATCCATGCTGATTGCCCCTGAGCATCATCTCGGATGCCGGCCCATCACAAATGTGCTCCTTGATGATCTTCTCAAAGAGCTTCCCCAGGATTGAGGTAAGACTGACGGGCCTATAATTGCCCGGGTCCTCCCTTTTCCCTTTTTTGAAGATGGGGACCACATTAGCTACCTTCCAATCGTCTGGCACCTGGCCCAAGCACCACGATCGCTCGTAGAGCCGTGCCAGGGGCCCTGCAATAACCCCAGCCAGCTCCCTCAGCACCCTGGGGTGGAGAGCATCCGGACCCGCTGACTTGAACGCGTCCAGCCCCTCCAGAAGCTCTCTAACCCGGTCCTCCCCAACCTGAGGTCTGAAGGCGATCCCCTCGCGTCCGGCTTCTATCACAGCAGGGAAGTCCCGGTCCCTGCACAAGAAAACGGAGGTGAAGAATTGGTTAAAGAGGTCCGCTTTATCCTCTGACGCAACCACCAGATTGCCCCGCATATCCTGCAGGGGCCCCACATTACCCGGCGCCTTCTTCATCCTCCCAATATATTTGAAAAAGGACTTTTTGTTATCCTTAATCCTGGACGCTAATCCGAGCTCTATCTCCGCCTTGGCCTTCCTAACAGCCCGCCTGCAGGCCCGAGCAGAGGAGGTATACTCCTCTTTGGAGATTACACCCCCCTTCCACCGGGCGTACGCCACCCTTTTGGCAAGCAGGCATTCCCGGACACCCTTGGTGAGCCAGGGGGGCTTTTGGACACTCCTGCCCGCCTTGCTTCTTGTCGGGATGGACACCCCTTGGGCCCCGAGTATCGTTTCCTTAAGGAACGACCACTCCTCTTGGACGCTGAGTTCCTCTGCCCTCAAGGACCCCAGTTCCTCTCCCACTAATCTCCTCATCTCACTGAAGTTGGCCCTCCTGAAGTCTAGGGCCACCACCTTGCTGCGGGCCCTTGACACTCTACGCTGGATGGTGAATTCCAGCACGCGATGATCACTATTGCCCAGGTGGTCAAGAACCTGGAGGCCTCTTACCAGGTCGTCGCCTGCGGCCAGGACCAGGTCCAGCAGAGCATCTCCTCTGGTGGGACTGTGCACCTCCTGAATCAAGTGGAGGTCCTGCAACTCGGCCAAGAACCTCCTGGAGCGGTCCGTCCCGGCTGACTGCTCCTCCCAGCAGATGTCCGGGTAATTAAAATCGCCCATGACAACTACATCCCTTGCTTTTAGTGTCTCCGCAAGCTGGCCTGAAAATTCCCTGTCCAGCTCCTCCTCCTGATTGGGGGGTCTGTAATAGACCCCCACCGTCAAATCCCTCTCGCCTTGCCCCCCCTGGATCTTGACCCAGAGCACTTCAGCTCGCCCTTCCCCTGACCCCATACTGCTGGCAGAGGATGTGTAGTGCTCCTTGACATAAAGTGCCACCCCCCCTCCCTTTTCTGCCTTCTCTATCCCGCCTGTACAGCCTATAGCCCCTAATGTTAACTGCCCAGTCATGGGATGAGTCCCACCATGTCTCTGTTAACCCTACGACATCTGGATTTGAACTAGCTATTCTGAGGGTGAGTTCCTCCTGTTTGTTCCCCATGCTACGAGCATTGGTGTACAGGCATTTAAGGCCTTGCAAGACTGTGTGCCCCCCCACCCCCTGATTAGCCAGACCATCAGGACCCCTGTTACTTACCTTTGCACCCCTTGCCCTGATGGCGTCTCCTCGTCTTCCTGCAGCCCCCTCCCCCGGCGAGTCTAGTTTAAAGCTCGCCGTACGAGATCAGCCAACCTGGAAGAGAAGACACGCTTGCCATTAGGGGAGAGATGAAGCCCATCCCGCCCCAGCAATCCCCCCTCCCGAAAGCATGGGTCGTTGTCAAGGAACCCAAGGCCTGCCCGGCGGCACCAGCTGCGTAAGCGCTGGTTGACCTCACCAATGCAGGTCCCATGCCTCTGTCCCCGCCCCCTCACCGGAAGGAGAGAGGAAAAAACCACCTGCGCCCCCGTCTCCTTCAGCCTGGTCCCC